CTGTGACATTGGCCAGACCCCAGAAACTTGAGGCAAAGTTTACCAAGAAAGGAAACGGCCAAAAGTTAGGTAAGTGAGAGACACACCCACAAACCACCTCCAGCTCAGCTATATAGTTGGAGGCAAGGCCTCTCTGGTTCCTGATCGAACTGCTCATGATCCCAGAGACTCAGAAATAAATCTGGAAACCCAGGGCTTTTGGCAGAAATGCATCCAGTCCCTGCAGTAGGTTACAGGTGCTGGGCCACCCCAGGCGGGAATTGGTTTCGTGCTTTGACCTGTTCCCCTTGGCGGCCCGGTGGCCGCCATTGTCCAGAGGCCACTGGACAGTCAGGTTTGGGCCTGCAGTGATGATACACATGGGGCCTCTTGGGATGGGGGTGGAGCCGGCCCTTTCCTCCCCATCCCAATGAGACCCCAAGTCGCCGCCCATGTGAATGGCCTCTCTGGCTCCTGATCAAGCTGCTTAACAGCCATGAACCCAGAGACTCTGAAACAAATCTTGAAACCCTGTGGCTTTTGGCAGAAGTGCATCCGGATCCCGCAGTAGGTTACTATCGCTGGGCCACCCCAGAAGGGAAAGGGTGCTGTCCCTCTGCCTGCTCCCCCTTGGCAGCTGGGTGGCCGCCATCCGCCAGAGGCCATTGGACAGGCAGGTTTGGGCCCGCAGCGACAAGACACGTGGGGCCTCATGGGATGGGGGTGGAGCCGGTCCTTTCCTCCCCACCCCAGCAAGACCCCGAGTCGCCACCAATGAATGGCCTCTCTGGCTCCTGATCAAGCTGTTTAATGGCCATGATCCCAGAGACTCAGAAACAAATCTTGAAACCCAGCAGGATTTGGCAGAATGCGTCCAGTTCCTGCAGTTGGTTATTGGCGCTGGGTCACCCCAGGTGGGAATAGGCTTCATGCCTTGGCCTGTTCCCCCTGGTGGCGCGGTGGCTGCCATTCTCCAGAGGCCACTGGACAGTCAGATTTGGGCCCGCAGTGACTAGACACGCGGGGCCTCGTGGGATCGGGGTAGAGCCGGACCTTTCCTCCTCGTCCCAACAAGAGCCCGAGTCCCATGAACGGCCTTTCTGGCTCCTGATCAAGCTACTTAACAGCTATGATCCTAGATACTCAGAAACAAATCTTGATACCCAGCGGCTTTTGGCAGAAATGCCTCCAGACCCCGCAGTTGGTTACTGTTGCCGGGCCACCTCAGAGGGGGAATGGGTGCTGTCCCTCAACCTGCTCCCCCTTGGTGGCTCGGTGGCCACCATCCACCAGAGGCCACTGGACAGTCAGGTTTGGGCCCTCAGCGACGAGATCCGTGGGGCCTCATGGGATGGGGGTGGTGCCAGCCCTTTCCTCCCTGTCCCAACAAGACCTTGAGTCGCCGCCCACGAACGGCCTTTCTGGCTCCTGATCAAGCTGCTTAACAGCCAGGACCCAAGAGACTCAGGAACAAATCTCGGAACCCAGCAGGCTTTGGCAGAAATCCCTCCAGATTTAATTGTTAAAATTTCTGAATTTCAAAATTGCGCGGCCGCTACTTGTCACGTGACATCACATGTTATTCATAACCAGCAATAGAAAACAAATTGCCTTTTCAGCAGATCTGAATGTTGGGGTGAAATCCCAAATAATAATGGTGGGTCTGGTGTCAAAATATTGAATGTGATCAAAGTAGAGAGAGAGAGTAATGTGGAAATCATCTGTCCTACAGGTAGGGGATGGGTATGGGATGGCGGTATATTGGGGTTTTTTGGGGTGGAGAACGGACACTGGTGAAGGGACGGGTGTTTCATTGTATGACCGAGACTTAAACCTGAAAGTTTTGTAACTGCTCTCATGGTGATTCAATAAATAAAATTATAAAAAATGAAAAAAAAGGTGGAGTTCATGCCCAATTCAATCAGCTAACTAGTGGCTGAATAGATAGCAGTACTCCTATATATAAAAAAAAATTGGTTTGTTTATATTTTTGTTTTGGGGTCATACATAGTTGTATTCAGAGCTCACTCCTGTCTCTGTGCTCATAGATCTTTCCTGTTGGGCTGGGGAGACCATATGTGGTGCTGGGGATTGTTTTTAGGTCAGCCACATGCAAAGCAAGTGTCTTCCCAATGTACAGTCTCTCTGGTTCCCCATAATTATTAAACTGTCTTTGGTGCAAGATTAGAATACATAGAAATATATATTAAAACTGAATAGTTCAGGGTCAGAGAGAAAGAACAGTGCATATAGAGTTTGCCTTACATGAAGTAACCCAGGTTTGATCCCTGACACCCCATATGGTCCCCAGAACACCGCCAGAAGTAATTTCTGAGTAGAGTCAAAAGTAACCCCTGAACACTGCTGGGTGTGGTCCCCAAACAAAATCAAAGAGGATTAGTCCAAATCAAAATGTATTTCATTTACTGAACATTTTTGTTTTTTCCAAAAAACTCATTCGGAGGGGCTGGAGCGATAGCACAGCGGGTAGGGCGTTTGCCTTGTACGCAGCCAACATGGCCGACACGGGTTCGATTCCCAGCATCCCATATGGTCCCCTGAGCACCGCCAGGAGTAATTCCTGAGTGCATGAGCCAGGAGTAACCCCTGAGCATCGCCGGAGTTAAAAAAAAAAAAAAGCAGAAAAAAACCCAAAAACTCCGTCGGGGGTCTGGAGAGATAGTGTAGTTGGTCGGGTGCTTTCCTTGCATGAGGCCAACATGGCCTGGATCTCAGCATCCCTGAGTATCACCAGGAGTGATCCCTGAGCACAGAGTCAGGAGTAAGTTCTGAGCACAGTCAGGTGTGGCCCCTAACAAAAAAGGTAAAGAAATAAATGCATTGGTTTTTATTGGTTTGTCCATTATAGTAGAAACATTACACTTGAGGAAACACCGTGTTGTGAAGTATGAACTTAGGAAACTTAATTTTTTTTTTTTTTGAGTTTGGGCCATATCCTGTGATGCTCAGAGGTTACTCCTAGGTCTGCACTCAGGAATTACTCCTGGGACCAGTTGGGATGCTTGGGTATCAACCCAGGTGGGCCACTTGCAAGGCAAGAACCCTACCTGCCATACTATGGCTCGCCCCCTTGTTTTTAGGTTATATGTACTCAGTGATGCTTGGGAGGCTACTCCTAACTTTGTGCTCAGGACCTTTCCCATGCAGTCTGGGATTAAACCTGAGGCTCACTCATTCAATATTAAAAGCTGAAAACTGGAGGAAAAAGATGGCCATAATCAGTAGAAATTTTGAGGAAAGGAGGACCAAGGGAAGAGTAGGAAAACTGGGAAGCAGGTTTAAGTAGGGTGCATAGTAAAGGAAGGGGAAACCTCCTACCGTCTAATTTATTTTTATATTCGGGCCACACCCAAGATGCTCAGGGCTTACTTCTGCCTCTGAGCTTAGGAAAAGCTAAGAAGCTTGGGAGACCATATGGGATGTCAGGGTCAAACCCAGGTTGGGGTTGGCTGCATGCAAGACAAGATCCTGAGTTGCTTTACTGTCTCCAGTCTTTTTTTGGGGTGGGGGGGGTCACACCCGGCGATGCACAGGGGTCACTCCTGGCTCTGCACTCAGAAATTATCTCTGGCGGTGCTCAGGGGACCATATGGGATGCTGGGAATCGAACCCCGGTCAGCCGCGTGCAAGGCAAACGCCCTACCTGCTGTGCTATCGCTCCAGCCCCCCCCACTCCTTCTCTTTAACTTTTTGAGGTATTGTTATTTACAGTATTGTTAATGAGAGCGTTTTCTGAATATAAGGTCTTGATATCACACTCTGCAGTAGCGTCTACTCCCGTTATTTTGTTTTGCTTTTCACTCCTGGCTCTGCACTCAGGAATCAGCCCTGGCGGTGCTCAGGGGACCATATGGGATGCTGGGAATCGAACCCGGGTTGGCCGTGTGTGCAAGGCAAACGCCCCACCTGCTGTGCTCTCTCTCCAGCCCCCACACTGTCATTCTTTAATTAGGGGGATTGTTGAGCACTTTGCCCTGAATTTAAGGTATTGCAATGCGTCAAGACAAGGAAAGAGCAGGTGTTTGACATGTTTGTCACGTCCTAAGCCAGTGTCATGAAATACGAATCGGGAACTTGTTTGGGGGCCACCCTTGGCCGAATCAGGGGACCCTATGAGGGTCAAAGCTAGAAGCTGGGTTGACTGAGTGCAAGGCCAGTCCCTTTCCCAGAGTAATTATCATTGCAGCCCCCAGTACCATCACCACGGAACAGAAACCTTCCATGTTTTCCAGGGCTTCTATTCCAGAGTCACAACCCAACTCAGTTTCCTCGACGCTCAAGAGTCATCTATGAAGTGTCACGTGCACTTTCCTTTCTCCTCAAACCTCGTATTTGTACTGGGGTGGGTGGGAAGGGGGGGGGTCCTCCGGGCTTGCGGTCAGGGTGTCACTCCTGGTGGCGCGTGGGACAGAACTGGGGTCTGCGGTAGGTAGGCAAGGAAAGTGTCGTGTGTGTGTGTGTGTGTGTGTGTGTGTGTGTGTGTAACTCCGTGGCGCCCAGGCCCGCCAGAGCAAACTTTTTTTGTTTGTTTGTTTTTTGGGTCACACCCAGCGATGCTCAGGGGTTGCTTCTGGCTCTGCACTGAGGAGTTACTCCTGGCGGTGCTCAGGGGGCCATCTGGGATGCTGGGAGTCGAACCCGGGTGGGCCGCGTGCAAGGCAAATGCCCTACCCGCTGTGCTATCGCTCCAGCCTCGACGTTTCATCCGTCTGGGGTTCTCAGTCCAGTCAGTCTCCTCCAGCCACGCTGTGGAAAAGTCTCAAGTGCCCGTTTCCAGGCTTCTCGCGCTGGGCTGCTCCTCCCGCAGTGCTCGGCGGCCCCCAGCACCTGCCGGGGCGACACGCTCAAGACCGAGCGTCCCTTCTCTCAGAGGCCTCCTGAGTGACCACGTCCCCCGACTCCTCGCTGTCCCGCACGCCGACGTGGCCCGCCGGGCTTCTCCTCCTCAGAGCCGCCCTCGGCCGACGCGGGGGAGAGGAGAGCTTGGCCCAAGGCTCGCGATGACCTTCCGCGGGAGTGGCCAGCGCTGGCCACGGGCACGACGGAGCCGCTGCCTCGCCTCAGCAATCTCGAGTCGCCCGCTCGGGAGCGAGAGGACCCGACGGTCGCCGGACACGAGGCAAGATGGCGGCCGGCGCCCGCGTCGGGACCGGCTGCCGAGGGGGCGGCGGGGTGGCGACCGGGGCGGGTTCCGGGGCGGCGAGCCGGGGGGTCTGCGCCTCCTCGGAGCCGACGGCACCGCGGCCCCCCGCGCCCGCCTCCGAGCGGGACCCGCTCCCTCAGCCTCCCCGGCGGCGCGCTCGCTCCCGGCCCGCCCCGCGCGCGCGCGCGCGCCGCCGCCGCGCATGCGCACGCCCGGCGGCGGCGGCGGCGGCGGCGCCGTGGTGCGCGCGCGCCTCGGCTCCCCGGCCTCCGATTGGCCGCCCGTCCCGCCATCCCGCCCCCCGCGGCCCCGCGGCCGGGACGGAAGCGAGGGGGCGGGGCCAGGCCGCGCGTGCGCGGAGCGGCCGCCGTCCCCCCCAGTCTCGCCGCTGTTGCGTTGCGAAAAAAAATTCCGCCTGGGTCGCCGCGGGCCTTTCGGTGCCGAGAGGCGCTCGGGGCGGCTCCGCGGGGCGGCCGGGCGCGGATCCCCGTTCCCCGGGAGGGCGGGCGGGCGCGCGCGGGGCGGCGACGGCGCCCCCGCGCTGAGGAGCGGGGCGCGCGCGCGCCGAGGGGCTCCGCGGGTCGCCCTCCGCGCGGCTCCCCCGCCGCCCCGGCCGGCCCGAACACGCCCCCCGCGGCCCGCGCGCGCCCTGGGGGGCCGCACCCGGCCGGCGGCGCGCCGCTGCGGCCGGGCCTCGGGCGCCGCCGCGGGCGCGCGCAGGGCCCCCCCCCCGCCGCCCTCCGCGCCGCGGCCTCACGCACCCGCCGTGGTCGCGGCCGCTCCCGCCGCCGCCGGACGAGCGGCGGCGCCTGAGGCGAGCGCGAAGATGGCGGCGGGCGGCGGCGGGGGCAGCGGCAAGGCCGCCTCGGCGTCGGGCTCGTCGGCGGGCGCGCTCGAGTCCTCGCTCGACCGCCGGCTGCAGGCGGTCACCAACACCATGGAGTCCATCCAGGGCCTGTCGTCGTGGTGCATCGAGAACAAGAAGCACCACGGCACCATCGTCTACCACTGGATGAAGTGGCTGCGGCGCTGTGAGTGCGGGCGGGCGGGCGGGCGGGCCGGGGGGCTCGGCCGGGGGCGGCGGGCGGCGGGCCCCGCTGCCGGCGCGCGCTCGCCCGCCCGCCCGCCCGCTCGCCGTGACCTTGGGCCGTTGGGCCCGGACCGCGGGCGGCGGCGCCCGCGATCGTTGGGGACGCGGCCCCGCGCCCCGCAGGCCGCGGCGTGCCCGGCGCCGGCCTCCCGCCCGCCGTCCCTCGCGGTGGGGCGGGACGGGACGCGCGTGTCTGCGCGGGCGGACGGACGGACGGGCGGGCGGGACGCCGGCCGTTGGCGTCGAGAGCCGCGCGCGGCCGCGGGGGCTCCGCCGGGCGCGGCCCCGGGCGAGGCGGCCGCCCCCGCCCCGGCCCAGCGTTGCCGCTCGGGCTCGGCGGCGCTTTCCGTTGGGAACCGGGGCGGCCCGGCAAGCGTGCGTGGCGCCGCGAGCACCGCGGGGTGAGCCCGGCCCCGGTCGCAGCTCGCAGAGTTTCCCCCGAAGCGGGGACGTCGTCACGCGGCGTGACAAAGACGCCCCGAGGTGCCTGCCGGCTCCCAGGTCCCGCGCTCTGGCCTCCGATTTTCTGTGTCTCCGATTTGCCTCTTGTCTCTGTGTCGCCTCCGATTCTGTGTCTCCGAGACCCGATTTTCTGTGTCTCCGATTTGCATCGCCGCCGCCGGACGAGCTGGGGCTCGGACGGTGCCTCCGGCCCTTGGACAGATGCTGAAAGAATCAGCATTTGACAGGAGTCGAATCGAGTCCCTAAGAGTGGGATTTTTTTTTGCACGTGAGTTTTTTTTTTTTTTTGGCTTTTTCATCCTTTTGGGCCACATCCGGCGGGGTCGAACCCGGGCCTCCTGCACGTGAGTAGCCCACGGAGCCGTTTCACAGAACCCGGATTCGGTTCGGTTCGGTTCTGTTGTGTTTTTGGGGGCCGCCCCCAGCAGGCTCACACACCTGTCAGGCCCGTGTTGCGGTGCAGAGCCACACCCCCCCCAGCCCGCAATTTCCGATTTCTTTCCAGCCAGGATTAGTTCAGTTGGGTTTGGATGCTGAGGTGCCGGATATTTCCACTCTCTGCACCTCTTTTTCCTTGTCCCGCTTTTTTTTCTTTTTTTGTCTCTTTTCTTTTGGCATCCGTTATTCGCTTGATGATGCTCGGGGTTCTCTGCGTGTCAGTTGCGGGGATTGGCTCTTGCAAACGGATTTTCATGGGGGGCGGGGGCATAAGAGAGAGTCTTACCTAGGAAATGGGAGCGTAGTGAGAGGAGAGAAATGAGGAGATCCTGGGGTGTGAAAGGAAGGAATCACACACCCACGTGGGGAGGTGGGAGATGGCATCTGGATGGAACTTTCTGGAGCCGTTGAGGGGGTTTGGGTCACATGGCGGTATTCTGGGGCTGCTCCTGGGGCCTTGCTCTGTGCATGGAGGTCCCTCCCGGTAGTGCTCAGGGGATTGTATGTGTTGCCAGGTATTGAGTCCCGTTAGCAGCATGCAGGGCTTAGCCCCGCCCTCTTCTGTCACTCTGGTCCTGAGAAAATTGATGCTTTTGGTGTCAGGTACCTCCAGATGTGAAGTATTCAAGGAACTGTACTCCAAGCTGGTTCTTTCGGCTGGTTTTTTTTTTCTTTCCTTCCACTGATCCTATTCAGCCTCCTCTCTCTCGCCTTCCTTTCCCCTTCCCTTCCCTTCTCCTCTCTGGGCCGTGTGCATGCAAGGCAGGCACCCGCCCCTCCCCTCTGTGCTGTCTGTCGCACTGGCCCCCATGCCATGTATCTTTGAATTTGCTTGACCAGCACTTACACCGGCATGTTTTTCAGAGTGGTCTTGATGTGGCCTAAACGGGCGTCATTCCTGAGTTCCAGTGGGGTTCCGTGGAACAGTGGGATTCAGATACAGACTTTTGCTGTGGTCTAAAGAGTCCACTACACTGCCCTTCCTAATCATTTCATCTAAGCCCATTTTTACTGAAAGCCCTTCTTTTTTCATTTTGTTTTGGGTGTGGTGGTGATTTGGGCCACATCTGATGGGGTTCAAGGCTTTCTCTGGCGGTGCTCGGGGACCATGTGTGGTGCCAGATTCGGCTGCATGCAAGGAAAGCTTCTTAACCCCTGTTACCTCTATGGTCCTTCCATCACATTTATATGTCAAATGGTCATTGATGTGGGGGGGAAAACACACACACACACAACAGGAAAATACAAGACTTTAGAATGAGCCCGAGCTTCAGATCTTAAATTCCTCACTTAATGTCTTGGTCACACTATACAAACTACTTAAATTATGACCACCCCTAATTTTCTGTTTTGTTTGGGGCCACGCCTGGTGCTGGTGGGGGGACTCTTGATGCACAGCCTGGGGGTGTTGCCGGGCCTGAAGCCGCATGACAAAGCATGCCCTGCAGCTCCTCTTCCCTGTCCAGTGGTCCTCAATTTCTGACCTGTAAGTAAAGATACTGGGGCTGGAGCGACAGCATAGCGGTAGGGCGTTCGCCTTACAAGCGGCCAACATGGCCGACCCGAGTTCGATTCCTCCGCCCCTCTCGGAGAGCCCGGCAAGCTACCGAGAGTATTCGATATGCCAGACACAGTAACAACAAAGTCTCCAATGGAGATGTTACTGGGCCCGCTCGAGCAAATCGACGATCAACGGGAGGGCCTTTACCTTACCTTTAAGTAAAGATACTAGCTGTAAGGTTTCTGTCTCCTTGTTTGGGAGTCGGGCAGAATTGAACGGAGGGCTGACATGCCAAGCAGCTGCTTTATTGGGCCCTCTACACTAATATGTCTTCTTGACCCTAGAACTAACGTAGAGAAACATTTAGCATTAGAAACATTACAGTTTGGGGGCCAGAGCAGTAGTACTACAGATCAGACACATGTCTTACACTCGACTGACCTAGGTTCGATACCTGGCATCCCATTCCTACATTGGTGGGTTCTTGATAATTGTATGAAACATTTGCATACAAAAGTAAGAAGCTTATGAAGTTAGAACTTAGGGGCCAGAGTGGTTGTACAGTGGGTAGGGCAAATGCAGCTGAATCAGCTTCTATTCCTGGCATCCCATATAGTTTCCCAAGCCTGATAGGAGAGATCCCTGAGTGCAGAGCCAAGAGTAACCCCTCAGTACCACCAAGTGTGGTCCCAAAACAAAAGCAAAAAAGTTAGTTTATTGTACAGTTCAGGGGGATGGATCTGGATCCTTCCTCAGTTTTTTTTTTTTTTCTTTTTGGATCACACCTGGCGATGCACTCAGGAATTACCCCTGGCGGTGCTCAGGGGACCCTATGGGATGCTGGGAATCGAACCCGGGATGGCCGCGTGCAAGGTGAACGCCTTACCCGCTGTGCTATTGCTCCAGCCCCTGATCCTTCCTCGGTTTTTACCCGCCTGTGATACTCATCTTGTCCCATGTTGCCCGGTCTAGTGTGTGAATTCCTAAGTCCTGTCTCTGTCAGTCACTTCTCCAGTGCCTGATGGCCTGGTCTTTTCCCCACACTGTTCTCTGTCCACTGTATGCTTTCCTAGTCACTTGCTGGGCCTCTTTTTCACTGTACCCCAGTGGTTTCCTGACCTCCTGGCTTTTCCTAAAGTTTAGGCAGGCACGTACTCTGGGGAGACACCTCTCTGCTCAGCACCTTGTCACTGTCTGGGCCCTCAAGCCCTCCCTCGATCGGAGTCTCTGAGTTCTCCCTCACTGCTGCTTTGCAGGCGCAGGACCCCACCTGGTCCCGCTGTCCTGCTGTCTGCACATAGGTGGGCATGCAGAGTGGGGAGTGGCAAGTATGACGGAGCCCTCCTTTCACCTGCTGCTGCCCCTCGGCCCCAGGCCCTCCCACTTCTGTTCAGTTCAGCTATGTGTAAGGCAGATCCTTAGCGCCTATGCTCTCTCCAGCCTATGGATGAAAATTTGTTTCGTTGTTGTCTTTGGGGGCCGCAGTGGGCTCTGCTTGGGATCACTTCTGCTTGATGGGACTCATGGGACCATCTGGGGTGCCAGGGATCCAACCCAGGTTTACTGCATGCAAAACAAGCACCTTACCTGCTATACTGTCCAGACTCAGTGATTCCCTGAATTTACCCTGAACCCTGCTGAGAACCTACAGTGCTAGAGAATATCTGGTCACTTGCTTATTTGGCTATAGGTAATTCAACAGCCTACTTATGAGCCGGAGTGATCATATTTTTTATCCTTGTAATGGGTTTTGTTTTCATAGCAAAACTTGATTGTTTTGTGGATTTGAAGTTTAGACATTTACTTTGGTTTTTTTTTTTTTTTAAGACCAAACCTGGCTGTGTAAGTTTCTGGTGGATTTAAAAAGGGCAGACAAGTTGAGCATGCTGTTAAAGTTGTCTACCAGAAATTTTGAATATGAAGAATATTTAGATTTAAGAATAGAAGAGGGAATTGGAGTGATAGGACAGTAGGTAGGGCTCTTGCCTTGCACATGGCTGGGCTGTTTGATCCCCAGTATCCTATATGGTCCCCTGATACTCCAGGAGTAGGTCCTAAGCACCGCCGGGTGTGACCCTAAACCAAAAATAAACAAAAAGGAATAAAAGAGTGGCTGAAAACTTTGTGGCTGAAAGTTTGGGGGCGCGACATTGGATAGTGGGCTTTTTCTTATGTATGTAATTGCAGATAGGCTGAAGAGCCCAATGTTGTTCAAAGATGAATTTTACTTATAAATTCCTATTTTACATTTAATTCTTCCAACACATTTGTAATTTTTTGGGTGGGGGACAGTGCTTAGCTTAGGGCTTATTCCTGGCTTTGTGCTCATGGAGGACCCCTGGCGGGCTTGGAGAACCATGTGGATGCTGGGGATAAGACCTGTGTCATCTGTATTCAAGGCAAGTGCCCTACCAGCCATAATAACAAATAACAGAATATCTGGGCCGGAGCTATAGCACAGCGGGTAGGACGTTTGCCTTGCACGCGGCTGACTCGGGTTTGATCCCCGGCATCCCATATGGTCCCCTGAGCACCGCCAG